ACAGCGAGGGGGTTGGGAAGGGGTGCGGCTCCCCAAAGGTAGCAGGGTCAAGCCCTTGCCATTGTGTGACCTCTGTGGCAATCAGGTTAGTTACCCTGGTAACCAGGGTTGATAATTACAGTGCAACGCAGGAAACAGAGAGAACATTTTGAGTCACAATCTCACTTGCGGTCTGTTTAATAATTGATATCTCGTATTAAATCCTACACAATCACACAACGAATTCTTGTAAAAAAGGAAACAATATGGTTTCTGTAAGGCTTTAAATGAGCATATGACATCTAAGATAAATATTTATACTTTAAACGAGGCAGTCGAGGGTTTTAAGCTCCCCTCACGAATTGACAGCGCTGATCCAGTTAGCTCACACATGCTAACCTGCTACCTCCGACTTGAGTATAGCTAACATACTTGTTAGCTCGCTAAACCTCTTCGAAAACAACATTCCCACTCTAAAATAGGAATAAAAACGTCGACGTTTGTTAACGAAACACGGAACAACCCTTTTAAACTCGTCTTCGTCGGCGGTGCGAGTGTCCCCGTTATACCAGACTGCGAACGTACCTGTTTGGTCGGGTCATTCCTGCCGTGCTCCGAGGACAGGTGATGTCTCAGCAGCAAGGCCCGCTTGTAATTCCGACTGCCTTTTACCAACTCGTCGCTGTTGTTGGTGGCGATGTTATGGCACCAGGAGCAAGACATGAGTCCTGTTTCGTGGCTGAATCTGAGCCAGGGAAACTCCTCCAGCCAGCAGGCTTGGAAGAGCGAGTGTTTCTGCAGCAGCGTCTGAGGTCTCATCTCCAGCAGCGGCTTTCTCGCGGCCGTTTCTTCCGCCTCTCCCGTGCTCCCGTCCTCCCGGTTCACACCGTTGCCAGTCGCCTTCTTACAGCCCTCGGTTTTCAGCATTACGCTGTTTAAAACGCCCCTGTCATTATGTTTCCCCGCTGTCCAAGTGCCCCCTTCCGGGTCCTCGTCCTCCTCTGCCTCCGGCTCCGTGCTGTCGCTGACAGACCCCCCGCCCTCGACTTTCCCCAGCGATGGTCCTTTCGCCCCCAAATCCCGATCGTCCTCCTGATCCGGTCTGTTCCCGTTCAAATGTCGGTCTTGACAGGCCGGGGCCTCACAGCTGTTGCCGTTGCTGCCTCCTCCGACGGCGCTGGGACCGGTGACGGCTAATCCACCTCCTCGGAAAGCCAGCGACCTGCGGTTTCGCTCTCCGGACATTTTTCTAGAAATAAATTACAATCTTCACTTCCTCAACAAAACAAAAATCCGATCGCGGCTCTCGTAAATAAAGTATTCCGCATGAAATGAGCCGTTTTTCCGCGCTCCGGCCTCCTGGTGAGAGTATGTAGGTTATGCGGAAATAAATAGGGGTTTTAAAGGCATAATGAATTTCAGGGTTCTGTCTGCGTCCGCGCAGGCCCCGCAGAGGTCGAATGGCAACGACTTCCCCCACAATGCATCTCGGTCAGAGGGAGGAGGGGGGGCTCGTGTTAAAGGAAGATGGGGGTGACGCCGAACAGCCAGGGGTCTTTTGTGTCGATGACTGCACCCATTTTCCGCATGCTTTTTCATCTAAAGGGCTACACGTCTCGAACCAATAAGTCTTTGTATCCCTTTCACGCCCTCCCCGGCGCGTGACATTACAGCCGGCGCTCCATGTTTGTCGCGCGAGTCCCGATGATCAGGACAGGTGGGTCGCTGCTGACTCGCTGGAGTAAAAAGCTTCTCGCGATGAATGCATGCATAGGTGTATTTTCCAGGTGGTAATGGAGGTGGATGGTTAAATATACAAGTTTTGACACTGGTTGATTTTTAATACATATTTCATCACACAATTTGAAATATCTGGAAACTTTAATACTGCATTGTATTACAAATACAGATAGTTAAAATACATTATCGCAGCGAAGCTATATAAAATGCAAGAAAAGGCACTGTCACTGTCAAAATAGTTTTATGTTGTTGTCATGATTTTTTTATTCATCTATTCATTTTATCTCCAACTCGTACCATAATCACTCTCATCTTTAGGCTTAATCCCTGATTTACCAGGGGTCGCCACAGCGGAACGAACCGCCATATTTCATTTTAAAACTTAAAAAAATAAACTGAGACATGTCTATTTACAGTTTTACAACATCAAATTTAAGATCACATATGGTGTATTTGAAGGGCCATTTGAGATAAAAAAAAAAAAAACGACGAATATTTCCTTGATTGTTTAGATTAGAATATAGGCTACTTTCTGTAGGATTATTAAAGCCTGTCACCCAGTGGGTGGCGTCATTTCCTACACTACAAACATGATAACACGATTGACGATTTATAAGCGCATGCAGCTTCCTCTGGGCGTGTCCGGTTTGACTGTAGGTGAATTAAAAACTCCGAGCTCACCCTCATGGAGGAGCAGGACTTCATTTTTGTTAGCCCTGCTAATCATTACCATTATCATGTCGAAATTAGGATGGTAATTGTGTGTTATTCGCTGAAGATCTGGAAAAAATGGCTTGGATTACTAATTGCCAGAGTGTCCAATTTTCTTTTTTTCATAAGGAATACAAAATATTTTTAGTGTACATTAAAAAGAGCAATACCGGTAACCCTTTATCATTATCTCTGTCATTTATAGCTTCTGTTAAAGGGGTTAAAGTTGTAGCCTTTGCCAGAGTATTAAAAAAAATAAAGTTAAAATGATGTTTTAACATTGTGGTATAAATTCTGTAATACTTAAAAAAAGAGAATTTTCAACTTAATAAATGCATTTGACTATTTTTGTGTTTATTGTTTGATGTAGAAAACTAAAAAGGATTCAATACTTAATAAAGGTTGAAAAATAATAAAATTATGTTTCCATTACTTAAAAGCTCTGTTCAATTTTTACTGAATAATGGTAAAAATACAGCAGCAATGGTGGCGCAGTGGGTAGCACAATTGCCTCACAGCAAGAAGGTCCCTGGTTCAAGCCTTGGCTGGATCAGTTGGCGTTTCTGTGTGGAGTTTGCATGTTTTTCCCATGTTTTTGTAGGTTTCCTCCAGGTGGTTCGGTTTCCCCCACAAGTCCAAATACATGCACTCAAAATAAGCACATTTTTGGTTTGAGAAACCCAAAACTAAAAATTGTTACTTGAAAGTGCAAGTTGAGAACACGTAAAGTCTAATAGGACAAACTAAAATAAAATGAGTTTGAAACACTCAAAAGGCTGATGCTTCAATTTTTTTAAAGTAAAATGTACGAAGCATTTTTTGCAGTGTATGTCTCCAGATGTCACATTTTACGGTGTAATTTGTTGTTTGTTTATTTAATATTATTTATGATGAACTCTAGAATGTATGAGTAGCCTATTTATTGTATTTAGGGTGTCTGCAGGGTCTTAAAAAGTCTTAAACTTACTGAAATATCTTGAAGGTGTTAAATTCATTCATTCACTTTCTTGTCGGCTAAGTCCCTTTATTAATCAGAGGTCGCCACAGCAGAATGAACCGCCAATTTATCCAGCAAGTTTGTACGCAGTGGGTGCAGCCGCAACCAATCTCTGGGAAACATCCACACACACATTCACACCCTACGGACAATTTAGGCTACCCAATTCACCTGTCTTGACTCTGGGGGAAACCGGAGCACCCGGAGGAAACCCACGCGTAGGTAGGGAGAACATGCAAACTCCACACAGAAATGCCAACTGAGCCGAGGTTCGAACCAGCGACCTTCTTGCTGTGACGCGACAGCACTACCTACTGCGCCACTGCCTCGCCCAGGTGTTAAATAATTTTTAATTATTTCTTAATTGTTATATGTCCACGTAAAGATGGATGGGGGGTCAACACCCATCCAATCATGTGCACACTCAACAAATACATCGCAATAAAACATTTAACAAAACTCCATTTATAACTCGATTTATCAATGTGGTTAGATTATCTTTCTTAAAATAACATTTGTCTAAATGTTTTCATGTATTTATAGCCTATAGGCCCATATGGTGTGAACACTGACCTGGGTAGACTGTTCTACATTTGGTTTATTTTAATTTCTAAAGCTTGTCAATATATTTTTAAATAGGGTTAACTTGATTTGACACATTAATTATAATATGTATCTAAAAATATATATTAATTAGATGTTTTAGAACAATTGAAACATTCATAAATCCTGTCTGAGCATTTATATCAGCAGCACATAAAGACAGTATTTGTTTTAAAGCCATTTCTAAATTAGCTAATGGCCATAATCATAATCGTTTAATTATAAAATCTATAAATATTATAATTTAGAAATATAAAATCGCAATATTTTACAATTATTTGCATACATTTAATAAAGTTCAACAAAGACAGTTTTTTTTTCTGAGGAAGCTTAGATCATTTCAGGTTTGTTCCTCTATGATGACACTGTATTTTAAACAATTTATTAAATCTGTTTTATCTTTCTGCATTGTAGCTTGGTAAGGTAATCTGAGTGTGTAAAATAAGAGCTGGTTGAGTAGCCTGGTGAAGGTGACGGGCAAGATCATCGGTTTTAACCAAACTGGTCCAACGGTAATTTACCATAAATATGTTTTAAGAGAGCTCAGGGTATCCTATGCACCCCAAATCACCCAGTGTACTCTGCAGCTGTTGCCATCAGGACATCGTTTTAGAGTTCCTATTTGCAGGGCAAATAGAACTAGAAATTATTTTATGATGGTGGCCATTAGGTCATTAAATGAGTGCAGGGGTAAGGGAGATGCACTCATAAATGATGTATGTTGTGGTAATATTTTTTTATTGTGTACATGGAACTTAGCCTGTGTTAAATGGCACCTTGCTGCAATTTTTGTTGCCCTAAACGGGATAATAAAGTTGAGTCTGAGTCTTAGCTTATCAATGTTTTACTATTTAACGTTTTTTCTAAAGTAATTTTTGAGCTTTAAAACCCGTCAGGTGGGACAGCGTGCCCTTCTCTCGCTCTGTTTACATATTTACGTACGGTGCGTGCTGACGTCACAGACGACCCCACCCCATCTCGCGCAGCAGCCCAGGGTTGCAGTGGCAGCTTTGAGCTGAATTTTGAGAGGTTGAAGTGGGAACGCGGGACCGCAAGAATCAGAATAACTCACAACATCAAGAGTCCTCAAAGACAGGATGGAGGAGAACGATAAAGGTAGTTGATTTCTTCTGCAAATGTGATGTGACATGTCGGCACAGATTAGAAATGCAACAAAACTCAACTTTCAGAAGTTAGCTAACTTGTTTGGTTAGCAAAGCCAGCAGCTGGTGACAGAATAATGGTTGATTAATTTTATTAATCCGATGAATATAGATAACGTGACACTCATTCAGAATAAATATTGACGGGAATTTCTTTCGAGCTTGAGCAGTTTTGCCAATTATAATTAGTTCGTCGTGGGCTAATTAATAATGTTTATAAACACTGAGGGAAATTAACAGTTACCACAACACAATAATTTAGTCTGGTTAAATATTTTTGGTGTTTTTGTTACAAAAAAACTATTTAATTTTCGTGGTTTTAACTTGCAGCATCGTTGAACCATATGTTAGCTCTTAACACCTGCAGTAAATGTGATGCTAATGATTCATGCTTTAACCGTTATTTCAGTTCTGCCTTTTCATCGAGGCAATTCCGTTAACTATTGTTGATTTTTAATATGTTTCTATAAGGATGTCTTAAAAATAAACCATCAACGAGTTATCACAATATGAAATTGAAAATATACTGTATAAAGGGTGCCATCTTGCTTTATTTGCACCTTTCTAAACGTTTCATCTCAGTTTGAGTCATTGATATGTACACTCTGGATTTAAGTTACAGTAGTAACGGTGATTGTCGTTGTGGCTATGGTGTGATTATCATAGGATAATATTGGATCTTCTGATTATAATGTAAGATTCAGTGTGATCTGTTTTTTCTGATATGATCTGGCCAGTTTACGTCACTGTGTAAAAGTTGACCAAAACTATCATTTTCCTACCTTGTGTGTTTATTTCACAGTTCAACGTCTTCTGACGTTTAAGTTGTGTACAAATGAGTGGTGTGGATGTTATAATCCTGTAAGCAAATGCATATTTCTATCTTCTGATACTATCTATATTTATTGATTTAGACATCATTTATTTTACTTGATTAATTTTATGGACAATTTCAACTGGTCTAAGGATTGTTGGATCTGAGATTTCAGTCATTAGTTGTCATTTAGATTATGTGTTAGATAAAGTAACACATTGGTGCCATGTTTCAGACATGTTTATGGCCAATTCGGTTTTATGCAACAAAACATCTATTTATTAACTTCAGAAGTTACGGTATAGTGGAAGTTAAGTTATAACCCTGATTTTTTTAAATGAAAATGTATTTGTTAATCTTACCATTCTGCCCATTTTCTGCAAAAATAAATTAGTTAAAATATCTTATTGCTCCTAAATGTAAGAAATGCTGTTAATCAATCATTATACAAGGATAAAATGGTAGCACTTTACAATACGGGAGTAACAGGACACCTAGTTAATGTAAGTTAATGTACACTGCTCTGCATAAATGACATGAGTACACCCCATTTCAAAATTACTCACTGAATATACTAAACATCTTAAGAAATAGATAATATATTTAAATTCAATCAAATTATTACAAATAGCAAAATTTCAACTCAATTTTATATATCTTTTGTTTCTCTTGAGCTTACCTCTTTTTAAAATCTTTATTTAATATTTTATAAACTTAGATGTGCTTATTTTTGGAGTGCTATCGCAAATTTGTTTTTGTTAGATTAGCTCCAAATTTGGCTTCAGTACTGACTAATCTAATGTATTTACACAAATAATCTATTGCAGAGCATCCTTTTGGAAAGTATTAATTTAAAGAAAAATCTGCGAGGGGTAATTTATGCTAAGCACTGTATTCACTAACATAAATAATGCCTGTACAGCATTTATTAATCATAGTTCAACATTTACATGATTAAAATCCAGTGCTGTGCTTGTTAACATTAGTTAATGCACTGTGGCTTAACATGAACTAGCATTGAACAACTTTTTATTCATTAGCTAACATTAGCAAAGATAAAAAACTTCTGTAATACATGTATTTTTCATGTTAGTAGTACATACATGAGGCTTTAATTAAAATGTGTCCTGTATTGCAGTTTTTATACCAATAAAACAAACAAAATTTTACTCAAACCCATTCCTAATAAAGTCACTCAATCAAGAGAAAGTAGCTAAATTATTAATGTCAGCGCTGATTTAATGCTTAGATTTTTTGACAAATTTCAAATCTAGATGATATGAGGATTACCACAGTTAATTAATAATTGATTGCCTATTAATTTGATATTAATATTTAATAGTTGATATTTAGAATAATCATTCAACTTTAATGCATTGCTCATGTTTTGACTACAGAATAATGACAAGGCAAATATATGGCACAGTCTTTTTTTTTTTTATTATAAACAAAGGCATGGTCCTCTCATCTCCGCCCAGCTCCCTGGATCTGAGCGGCCTGTTTTCTCTCATCCCTCCTGGGCTGCACTGAGACGATGAGTAGCCTCTCCAGGAGCCAGAGCCTTCCTGTTTGAATCTTCTGTGTTCCTCCCCTCATCCCTCTCATGCAGGGTCGCCATCTGCTCCTTCTGTGTGGCCATGTCTCTCTGTATACCGTCTCTCTCTCTCTGCATACAATTGTGTGTGTATGAGCAGCTCACATGTGAGCTTTGAATCGTTTTTACACTCGTTTGTCTCCCAAGCTGTTGGCAGTGAATCTTCACAGTGGGAAAACAAATGAAGAGACAGAACAACAGTGTTTGACAAGTGCATGTGAAGAGAATAATGGATACTTGCTTTTGTTTTTAATATTTTTTTTATCAGTTATAACTTATAAACACAGATACATGATGTTGTCGCATGATTGGCTGTGATTTAGAAGATAGATGTGAAAAATGTTTCTAAAAACGATTCATGATTTTTAAACAATCTCATGGTCAGAACATGCTGTAAGTTTGTTGGCTTCATCTGTGTCTCGTGACCAATCGCATCACGCCATTGTGTTGAAGCATCTTTTTAATCAGAGGATCAGCACTCAGGAGCTGGGAGCAATAAGTACACGTGGCTTCACTTTTATTTGCTTGCTGCTTATTTATGTTTTAAGGAGGGTATGGTTTGGGGTTAGGTGCTCCAAAACTGGTCTCCAACACTCTGTACCAGTCCGTCGATAAACTGTTACCGGGCTGCTCAAGAAATCATTAAATATTTCCGTTTTATTTATTATCCGAGTCTGAACGATCTTTTAATTTGAAAAATGAATGTATTCTCTTGGTTACATCTTGTTCACTTGAGTGGCAATATTTAGCCCACAAGCAGCAAAATGAGTTGGATGCAGACGTCTTTGGAAAGTTTCAAAGAAATGGATTCACAACCCATTTGTCAACAGATCAATGAATCCAGCATGTCTGTGCAAGAAAAAGATCAACTGCTGGAGATCGCAAATGACAGCGGCCTTAGGGGCTGTTAACACATTGCATCTTGCACATTTAGTTAAACTAAATATCTCAGACAAACACAGAACACCCAAACACTGCAGTGATTTTTCATTTTCTCTATAAATAAAACTTGCATCTGAGTTGCAGCAATGTTTTGTCAGCTTGTCTTCCTCTGAGAAAACGGAGACAACGCCTAGCAATGTATGTACACCCCTTCCCCCCGGGCCGTTGTAAAATTGTCAAGTGATGACCGGTCCACAGTAATAAAAAGGCTGGGGACTACTGCTCCAAAATATTTCAGAAAGTATGCATGTTTATAAAGTGATTTGTGTTTTATAAATACTTGCAAAGAAATGAATGTGCGTGTGAATGAGATGTGTATGGGTGTTTCCCAGCACTGGGTTGCAGCTGGAAGGGCATTTGTTGTATAAAACATATGCTAGAGCAATTGAAGGTTCATTGTGCTGTGGTGACCCCTGATAAATCAGGGACTAAGCCGAAGGGACCAATGCGCTCTGACCAGTCTTCAATATATGACAGGAATTGGGAGTGATATTATTTTGTTTTTTAATGGCATTTTTTTTTTTTTTTTTAAAGTATTGATTCAAGAATGTATTAGACACCAGTACTGTTTTAAAAGAATTGATTTGGCACTGTCATTGTAAAAAAACAAAGGCCAGCCCTGAGTTATTGACTGAGTACTTAAAAAAAAAAGTGTTATGTGGACTATTAAGGAATTCTTGAAATGATTATATAATGCTAAGTTTATACTTAGTTTTTCTAACATGAAGAAATGATGAGCAATAAATATTTATTATTTCTAGATCTTTGTCAGCAATAGTTAATTGATTTTAAGTTTGATATTAGTTCTTGTTAATCATTGCATTGACCAATGTAAAAGGGGTAGTTCACTTTAAAATGAAAATTGAATCACTGTTTCAAGTGGTTCTCATTATGAGATTCTTTTTTCTGTTGTACACAAAAGAAGATATTTTGAAAAATGTTTGAAGCCTGTAATCATTGACATCAGTAGAAGGAAAAACAAATACTATGGAAGTCAATGGTTCCATGTTTCAAACATTTTCCAAAATATCTTCTTTTGTGTTCAGCAGATATTTTGTTTTGGGACAAGGGAAAGTTAAGCAAATAATGATTGAATTTCTGTTTCCCATTTAATAAGCACCACTTTAAATTTGATTAATGTATTAAATGTTGAACTCTGATTAATAAATGCTGTACAGGTATTGTTCATTCTTAGTTCATTCTTAACAAATTAAATCTTATTGTAAAGCCTGGCCCATTTAATTCTTGGTTCGGCTCAGCAGTCACCATTTGCTCATGTTTACTCAGGTAGATCTGCACACTGTTCTCCTTTTGCTGTCATGGCAGCATAAAAAAATAAAAAAGTTGAAAGACTAACAGAACTACAGGGAGGAATGAGGAAGCCGCAATAAAATCCTCTAAAGCCCGGTGTTGCTGCGTTTGGTCTTGATTTAAATGTGATTGTTGCACTCTTTGATGGAGTCTGTGCAGTATACTATTCAGCATCTCAAGGTTGAAAGTTTGCATGACTGCCAAAAGCTATAGCAGACAATTCTTTTGATCTTAATGGTGGAAATTTCCACTGCTGGTGTTTGTTGGTGTGCTCCCTCCAGCCTGCATGTTT